AGAGGCTGGGCTCTATGAGGAGAAGTGTGGCGTCAAGATTGTTGGAAGATCTATTAACAATCTGCGTTATGCAGATGACACAACCCTGCTTGCTGAAACTGAAGAGGACCTCATGCACTTGCTGCAGAGGGTCAAGGACTGTAGCCTTCAGTATGGACTGAAGCTTAATGTCAAGAAGACAAAGATTCTCACCACTGGACCAATTGGAGCATCAGGATGGATGGTGAAGAGATTGAGATTGTTCACAGCTTCAGTTTGCTTGGCTCTATGGTCAACGCTCTTGGCACCAGCAGCCAGGAAATCAAAAAACATTGTGATGGGAAAGTCTGCTGTTAGGGACCTCTCTAAAGTACTCAAGAGCAACGGTGTCTCTCTGAAGACTAAGGTGCACCTGATACAGGCCATGGTCTTTGCAATCACTTGTTATGCATCAGAAAGTTGGTCAATGACTAAGCAGGATAGGAGGAGAATTGAGCCTTTGAGCTGTGGTGCTGGAGAAGAGTATTGAGGGTATCATGGACTGCCAAGAAAACAAACAGATTCATCCTAGAGAGGGTTAAACCAGGCTGCTCCTTGGAGGCAAGGATTCTGGGGCTTCATCTGACATACTTTGGACATGTTGTAAGGAGAGACAGGTCCTTAGAGAGGGACATAATACTTGGTAGGGTAGAGGGACAGCACAGGAGGGGAAGACCCTCTATGAGGTAGATTGATTCAGTGACTGGGGTAATCGGGATGGGTGTGTCAGAGGCAATGCGATTGGCACAGGTTAGAGCAGGGTTTAGGGCTATTGTACATAGGGTCGCTATGAGTCGCAAACAACTTGACGGCACATAACAACAACAACACAACAAAATGTGACTTACAGTATCATATAAAAAAGGATAGGTGTAGAAAACAGAACAATTTTGATATGTTACACCGTAAAATAAAGTCACAGAATTTAATGAATTTAGAATTTAATGAAATTGAGAAATATATTGAAATATCCGCCATATATATTCAGTGTCTCACTGTAAAAACTATAAAATCAAAATGGTGGGCTTTTTATCACAGATGCTGCTGCTACACAAATAGATACTTTCTCCAAAGAAACACGAGAAAATTCTATTTTTAGTATATTGATAAAGAAAGGAATTGCCTTGCAATTAAAAAAAAATTATACAGATATCTGCCAGTAGCTTTTTTTACACCCTCTAGTTTTCCAACCATTACACTTTGCATATTCCATTTTCCAACTGTTGGAGGATGTTTACAGCTATTTCTCCTGATTTTAGTTGATTTCCAATCTAGATTCTACATCTACTACTGTAACTATTCTCATATTTCTTCCCATTTGGAACAAAGGTGATTCAACAGAATGTGGATGTTATTGAACAATATCAATATCACATGCAAGGAAAATAATGCTTAAGATCACTTAAAAAACAATACAAAAAAGCTAGAACAGTACATAGAGAACTTCCACATGTTCAAATTGTTTGTAGAAGAGACTATGGTACCAGGGATGCCATTGCTAATGTCAGACAGATCTTGGCTGAAAGCAAAGAATACCAGAAGGATGTCTGTGCTTTATTGACTGTACAAAACATTTTACTGTGTGGATCATAACAAATTATGGCTAACATTGAGATTAATTGAAATTCCAGAATTTGTGCTCATGCAAAACTTACACAAGAGGAGGCTGTTGTCTGAACAGAGCACAGGAACGCTGTGTTGTTATGTGCCGTTGACTCCCTTGCGACTCATAGCGACCCTATGTACAATAGCTTTGAAACTTGCTCTATTCTATGCCAACTTTATTGTCTCTAATATACCCACCCTCATTACCCCAGTCACTGAATGAATCTATCTCACTGAAGGTCTTCCTCTCTTGTCCTGTCCCTCCACCCTTCCAAGCACAGGGTCCCTCTCCAAGGACTGGTTCCTCCTTGCAACATCCCCAAAGTATGTGAGATGAAGCTTCAGAATCCTTACCTCCAAGGAGCAGCCTGGTTTCACCTTCTCCACGACGACCCTGTTTGTTCTCCTGGCAGTCCATGGTATATTCAGTACTCTTCTCTAGCATCACAGCTCAAAGGAACACTACATGATTTAAGAAAGGGGTGTGTCATAATTGTTTCCTTTTACCATACTTTAGGTAGTCTCATGAGAGATGGAGAAAAGTTTTAAATTGTGAACAATTTCATCTTACTTGAATCTACAGTCAATGCCCTTGGTACCAACAGTAAGGCAATCAGGAGATATATTGCATTGGGAAAGTCTAAGGACAGGCACTTCTCCAAATTACCAAAGAACAGTAATGCCAGTTTGAGGACTAAGGTGTTTCTGATTCAAGTCATGATCTTTTAAATTACTTGCTATATATCTGAGAGCTTGAAAATTAATAAGGATGACAGAAGAATTGATACCTTTGAGCTGTGATGCTGGAGAAGAGAACTGAACATCTTATGGACTACCAAAAGAACAAACAGATCTATCTTGATAAAAGTGAAGCCAGAATGTTGGAGGCAAAGATGACAAAGCTTAATCTTGTTAAGAATGTTGCTGGGAAAGGCTATTCCTTTGTTGTTGTTAGGTGCTATCAGTGTGACTATAAACTCATACAACTCATCCTATGAACAATATATCTGAACCTTGTCTTAACCTGATATTTTAACCCAATGCTCTAGTGACTGTCTCAATCCATCTCGTTGAGTATCTTTCTCTTTTTTGATAGTCAACTTGATGGCACATAATAACATCTTCTGTTTCCTTTTCCCCTTTTGAACATGTTTACATATCTTGCTCAGCTATCCTATTTTCACAATAGTGGCTTTATGTGATATTTTTTCTTGTGAGTCTGAGTTCATTCAGTATAATGCTTTCTAGTGTCCCCCAGGTTATATAGCGTTTTATAAAATCATAGTTCCTTAGTACTGTGGAGTAGTCCATTGTGTGACTGTCCCACATTTTCTCAAACATTTTGTTTACTGATGAACATTTGAATTATTTCCATTTTCTTACTATTGTGATAATGTTGCTCTAAACATAAGTGCACTTAATTCATGTCTCAGTTCTAATTACCTTGGGATACAGTCCTACCAATGGAATAATTAGGTCATACAGGATTTTTCTGTATTTAGCTTTTTAAGAAACTGCCAAACTGCCTTCCAGAGTGGTTGTACCCTTTTTACAATTCCACTAGCAGTGTATATGTAAGAGTTGCTATCTCTCTACATCCTCTCCAATATTTATTTTGCTACATGTTAGACTTTCTTACTGCTTCTATAATGAGATGGTTTCTCATTATGGTTTTGATTTTAATTTTTATAATTGCTAGTGTTTCTTGTGTACTTTAAAGAAATCTTTTGCAGATTTCCCTAATAAAACAGTATTTGCCTTCTGATTTCATAAAGCCTCTTCCTTTGCTTGACTAAAGAACAGGCTAGCAATTGGTAAATCTGTCAAGCTATAGAATTTATAGGATAAATATTTCTCTGTAACTGCATTTATTAAAGATTTCTTATGTTTATCATGACAGATCCAGGCATATTTCAAGGAATTGGGATTGGATAGATTTGCCTTTACAGCATATAACCAAGAGAGAGTGAAAAGATGGTATCCGGGACTGACTGAAGAAAAGTGTCCAGGTGTGAGTCAAGCTGTCAATTTTAGCAATATTTTGCAAATGCTGAACAAATAAGAATGCTCTAGTGGTAATGGAATATGATTGACACCAGGACAGAGCGAACAAGTTAGGTTGGAAGGGGTAGAGATTGTATCTGAAACAATATGAAAGAATTAGAGTTGTAAAAACATTGTTTGACTTTGATAGTGAAACTCTGGTGGACTACTGGGTAAGAAGTTACACTGTCAACCCAAAGGCAAGTGATTCAAATTAACTACTCTGTGGGAGAAAGATGGGCAATCTCTCCTATGCAACTTGTAGCCTCTGAAAACCTGCTGAAATATCCCCTATGAGTTGGTTCAACTTGACAGTGTTAGTTGAGATGAAATGAGGAAGAAATTAAGAGCCTTTAACTAAATGAGATGATTATAAACTCAACAATTACATTTTATCTATGGACTCTAATTTGCATCATATATATTAAGAATTCTAGTGGCAGCCACTTATTATTTTCCAGGAATGTCTGCTCTAGTTTTGGAAAGTTTTAAGTACTAGACAGTTTTAGCCCTTTATTACTCCTACCCACTAGTTCTTGTAATTTTTGTTATACATAGCCACATAATATTAGTACTAATTGGACTATTAAGTTAAACTGGGCTTAAAAAACTAAAGAGATTATCTGGAATCTTAATTTAAGGTATTTTATACAAAGAAAGTGAATGAGTTCTTTTACTAAAATGGCAGACAGCTTATATTCAGACACTTGTTCTCAAGTTCTCATATTTCCTAGCATTGGACATTACAGTAAATAAAATTTTAATAAAACACATTGAATATGCTTAATATTGATATAAGCCATTAGTCTTAAATACAAATCTCTTGTTATTATTGTAAATGTGTAGACATTTCTGTAGAAGGAAAGGGTTGGAATATCCTTATATTTGGGATCTATAACACATTATGGAAAGGAATAGAAAACATAGAGGAGGAAAAACATGGTTCCTGAGAGAAGTAAAAATTTCATTTCCCAAGCTCAAAAGAATTAATTTGTGTAAATTTGTTAATATTTTATTGAGCCAAAAACATGAAGGGAAAATTTTAAAAAAGTAATTGCTGACTAGTTAGGAGTACTAAAATTTCAATTAGATCAGTTTAATGCAGACATTGGCAAAGTTACTCTATTCAAATGGCATTTTCTTAGAAATGTGAAATGGGAAATAATAATACAAGGATGAATGAAAAAAAAACACCACAATTATAAGTGTGTTCTATCTAATTGGGTAGGTTGGAAGTGTACTATGTATGACCTTACAATTCCAACAATGAACTTGAACTCCACCTAGTTATCGAGATGGACTTTTTATGGCCTTGCTCTATTGGCTGAGCTTTCTTATAAACGACTCTGGGACAGCAAGCTGTGATAATCCCCCCTATCCATGAGAAGGGGCTGCTTTTCTTCAGAGAACTGCTTTCTGCTACGACGACAAAGTAGACAAGTGAGGCCTCCCAGCAGAGCAGTGAGAAGAGCCCCCACGATAGCGGCCCCAAGAAGCCACTGCCAAATCCGACTGGCTTGTTCCAAGTACGACTTAATGTAGTCTTCAAAGGAATCTGGAACTGAAACAGAGGACATTGGAACGTTTTTACTTTTTCATTGTTATCATTATCAGAATTATTAATCATTATCATTATTATGGTATTGAAGTCAGATACTTGAGTTTGAATACCAGCTGTGTTCTTTACTCACTGTGAGAATTTGGAGAAATTAGACCTAATATTCATAACTCTTAGTTTCTCCAGCAAAATAAGGAAACAATGCTTGTTGTTACGCTTTGATTTTTATTGCTAGTATATACTTGATTAAATATGAGTTCTTAGATTCACTGTTACTTATGCTGCACTCATTAAAAATGATCATCTATAGAATAGTTTTGTACAACTAACCATTTAATAATTTAGTTTTTCTATTAGACAGACTTGAACATTTTAAAGCACTGGCAAGTTCTTGGGAATCATAGGATGCTCCTCCAAACCCCTAAACCCAGGACAATATAGTTCTTTTCATAGAAAAGTCCAAACTTATTACCATTAAGTTGATTCCAATTCTTAGAGACTCAATAGAACAGAGTAGAACGTCTCTTTATTGGAACTGCAGAGACCGTTCCTTCCTCTCCCAGAATGGTTGGTTGTTGAAATAATCCAATCACAGAAAATAGCAGCTGTGCGCTCGCGCTCTCTCTCTCTCTCTCTCTCTCTCTCTCTCTCTCTCTCTCTCTCTCTTTCTCTCTCTCATAAAACTACCCTACCCCCTTTCCCAGAAATAGTTACCTGAGACCCCCAGCCCACTTCCTTATTTTGTAGAAAACATCTGTGAGCATCCCTGTACCCAAGTTCCTGGTAAGAGAATATAAAACACCTTTCTACATTTTAGTGGGGGCTGGATTTCTGCTTGAGAGCCAGCCTGGCAGTTTCCCCTCAATAAACTGTCTTTCTTTCTTGGCCTTGAACTGGGTTCTGTTCTTCCTCAGTGACCTTACACTCTTAGGGATTCTAAGGCTGTAATTCTTGATGAAAGTAGACGGCCTCAACTTTCTCTCTGAGTGACTGGTGGATTTCAAACTGTTAATCTTTTGGTTATCAATCCAACGCTTAACCCACTATGCCACCAAAGTTGCTTCTGTATTAATAAAACTCACAATTTTGAATCTCCCCAAAAATAGATTTCAACCAACTATATTTTAAACTGATTCTGAGGAAGGAATAATGTCTACCATTCTAATCACTTGTAATACTTCACACAGCATAAACAGATGCCTTCAAGAAGGCACAATGCCCAGATTGCTGCTGCCAATAGATCTTTCTATCTCTGAATTCATCTAACTTTGAAGATCTGAAATAAGGAGTACAGTACATGGGAGTCTTGGGAGTCCTATAGAGCAGTTCTGTCTGCTCAATGGGTTTGTAGTGGGTTAGAATCTCGATGATAACAGCAGACTTTGGTGCGAGCAATTAATTGCATTAAAAGGAGATATTGGAAATTTTCTGCATACAATCAGTAGGAACTTTCTAGGAAATACAAATTTTGGATGAATTAAGGTAATGGTATGATTAATTTAGAGTCAATTTAGGAAATAATACCATTTGAGTAGTAAGTGAAAAAGTCTTCACTTAATATTTGCCTATTATGGATAGAGCCTGTATAAAAGAGCCATTTTTTATACAAGTTTCTGTATTGAAAAATAACTAATGATATAAAGATAGTGCATTTTGGACCAACTTAGCAGCAAATTATGGCTATGTGAGTAAGTGATGAACAGAATTATAGATAACTTTTGGGCACAGCTCTCTGAAAAAGAGAATATGTCTTCTCTATTTCCCTTCTTTCTTTCCCTTTGTGCTACTTAGAATGAAAATATAGGCCGTTGCTGAGCTATAAACACTCAATTTATATGTAACCTAGAGTAGTTATAAGCCTATCTCCACAAAATCCATTAAACATTCTAAGTACATTCAGTGATTAAAAAAGAACAAATGTAATGTTTGTAACGCACATCATATTTTTATTGCCATATCACTGTGAAGGATATTTAGGATAACAACAAAAGATATTTAGTGTATCGAAGGGTTTGTTTCATGTTTCTCATGCTCAGAAGTTACTCATTAAAACTCATTGGAACCAACTCATAGCTGATCTTCTAATGAGTTTTCAGAGGCTTTAAATCGCACTGGAGGTGATTGTCCATATTTTCCTCTCAGAGCACGTGGTGGATTCAAACCACCAGAGAAGTGTGGCCTTTCGGTTGACAGTGCAATTCCTTATGGAATAGGTTAGAGCTCCTTTTCAGAAGGCATATTTTATACTATAGACTAAGACATATATCCTATCAATATTAGATGCAAACCATACCCTATTTCAGTGCACGTCGAAAATTCAAATACAGACAGACTTAGGAATGGAAGTCCTTCATAATTACATGCATAAACACCGCCTGTGCATTGTTGGTGTGTCCTCACAGACTACAGGGTACAGGGAAAATTCCAGGGATTGTGGAGCTACAAAAAAAGGAACCATCTGGCCCATATGGAGTTGACATTTGATAATACACCATACCTAGAGTGCTATTCCAGCAAGTTTTATTTCCCTAACTGCCATGAACAATTTGAACTTTTATTTAAGTCAAGGAAATTTGGACCCATGTTATATTTAAAACCCCAGCTGATGCAGAGTTGGCAACATTCTTTCATGTTCTGTTGCTTTGATGTATTTGGTTAATATGTATGTGATGTCCTGACATGCAATGTTCTAATAGGAACCATTACTTAGAATTTATTGTTCTGGAATTGGAAGCCAGTTATTTCAGGAGTTAAGGGTAAGAATAGGTTGAAGCCAATACACATACAGAAAAAGAAGAAACAAGAGCTATAAGACAGTCCTTAGGGTGTTTAATTCTCTGGCTCCTGCTGTTCCTGAGCCTTGGCTTATCTTGATGTTTCCCACGGTTTGAATGTTCATCTTTCCTTTAGATTTTGTAAGCCAACAATTTCCCTTAAAAAAAATCTCATTCCTATGGTGTTTCTGTCATTTATGCTTCAAAAGTTCTAGTTATCTTTTGAAATTCCTTATCCCCTGCTACAAAGAAACAGAGAACAGAAAGTAATGTAATATGCTCTAAAGTTGGGTATATGCCAATTTAATATAGAATATAAAGGAAATCCATAAACCGAGAAGAAAAAGAATTGTTACTTTGCAAACTGTCGCAGAAAGAAAGAAAAAAAATAAACCAGAATCTGAAACAAGGGTCATACTATTCACCATTATTCAGACAAATAATAAGGCTTTTAAATATTTTTAAATCAGTAGAATCTGTGAAACTGATTCCCACCACCACCACCACCAAAAAAGGAGGTAAAAGTGAAACATCCTCAGCTTAACCAGAACAAATAGGGCTAATGGGCTGGACAGTTTTCCTGTTATGTATCCTTTCCTGTTCCTGGAACCATCTTTTTGCCGCCTGTCACTAAGATACCTGTAAAATGCTTAGACTCTTAAGCTCAGATCAACAGTACTGTAATATAGTGTGCCTCTTAATCAGTTGGTGGTTGTTACGTACTGCCATGTCAGAACTGACCAATGGCTGACCCTCCAGTGGGCTTTAATATGCAATAAATTACAGAGGGAAATAATTCCCATCTTTCTCCCATGGAGCAGCTGGTGGATTCCAATAGATTATCTTCGTATTGCAGTGTAACTCCTTACTGCTAGACCATCAGAGCTCTGAGACAATAATCCTCAAAAGAGTAACAAAATAAAATACAGGGGGAAAATGGTATAGCTTTGTGTGATAATTTAAATCTAAATTAACAGTTAATAAAGCTATTTTTTAAAATAAAAATATGTAAAATATTATCTCCATCAAAAAGATTTTATAAATGCCACTTTGATGTCTTTGAGTTGTGGTATTGGGGAGGAGCACTAGATGTCCCAAGGACAGAAAAAAAGAACAGATACGTCTTAAAGAAATCCCTAATAACTTCCTCATTTTTCAATGTGTAGGTAATTTGCCACAGTCTATACATTTCATCTTCAAAGTATTATACAATGTTTTCGTGGTTCTTTTGTCACTTCCTACCACCACTACCATGTTGAACCAAGAAATTTGGAGAACAACCACTTGGCCAACTGACAGGAAGAGATCTGCATTTGTTCCCATCCCAAAGAAAGGTGACCCAACAGAGTGTGGAAACTAGAACAATCTCATTGATTTCACATGCAAGCAAAATTCTACTGAAGATTATCCAAAAACGGCTGAACAACACATCAGCAGAGAACTGCCAGAAGTCCAGGCTGGGTTTAGAAGGGGTTGTGGTACTAGGGATATTGTAGCTAATGCTAGATGGATCTTAGCTGAAAGCAGGGAGGACCAGAGGAATGTCTATCTGTATTTCATTGACTATGCAAAGGCATTTGACTGTGTAGATCATAACAAACTGGCTGAATCTGAGAAGAATGGGAATACCAGAACACTTGATCATGCTAATGAGAAACTTATACTTGCACCAAGAGGCAGTTGTCTGAACAGAGCAAGAAAACACTGCATGGTTCAAAATTGGGAAAGGCGTATGCCAGGGATGTGTCCTGTCTCCATACCTTTTCAACTTGTATGCAGAACAGATAATCTGACAGGCTGGGCTCTTTGAGGAGAAACATGGGGTCAAGATTGGTGGAAGATCTATCAACAAGCTGAGATATGCAGATGATGCAACCCTGCTTGCTGAAACTGAGGAGGACTTGAAGTGCTTGCTGCAGAGGGTCAAGGACTGTAGCCTTCAGTATGGACTGAGGCTCAATGTCAAGAAGACAAAGATTCTAATCTAACCACTGGGCCAATTGGCAGCATCAGGATGGATGGTGAAGAGATTGAGATTGTTCACAGCTTCAGTTTGCTTGGCTCCACAGTCAACACTCTCAGCACCAGCAGCCAGGAAATTAAAAGGCGCATTGCCATGGGAAAGTCTGCTGTTAGGGACCTCTCCAAAGTACTGAAGAGCAATGGTATCTCTTTGGAGACTAAGGTGCGTCTGATACAGGCCATGGTCTTTGATTTCACTTGTTAGGCATCAGAGAGCTGGGCAATGACTAAGGAGGATAGAAGGAGAATTGATGCCTTTGAGCTGTGGTGCTGGAGAAGAGTATTGAGGGTACCATGGACTGCTAGGAAAACAAATAGATTCATCCTGGAAAGGGTCAAACCAGGCTGCTCCTTGGAGGCAAGTATTCTGAGGCTCTGTCTAACATATTTTGTACATGTTGCAAGGAGGGACAGGTCCTTGGAGAGGGACATCATGCTTGGTAGGGTGGAGGGACCGCACAGAAGGGGAAGGCCCCCTATGAGGTGGATTGACTCAGTGACTGGGGTAATCAGGATGGGTGTGTTGGAGACGGTGCAATTGGAACAGGACAGAGCAGAGTTTAGGGATGTTGTACATAGGGTTGCTATGAGTCGCAAGCGACTTGATGGCACGTAACAACAGCCATGACCACCACTATCATCACTGTAATTCAAACCAAATCCACTTTTCCCCCTTCCATTTATTCTTGCAGTGGTGTTTTCACTGACCTTCCTGTCTCTGCTTTGCAAACACTACACTAGATTCTACACATTGAAGTAACAAAAATATATTGAAGATTCAAATTTGTCCATAATCTGTTTAACACTCATGATTGGCTCCTTTTGTTCTAACAGTATGTCTAAAATCAATAGCCAAGGATTTATAGGATCTAGCCTCAGCTTCCAGGCTTCTTTTCAAATTAGTACCTGACACGTTCAAGCACTTCAAGGAGATGGTTTGATACATAAAGTGACTGCAACAGTGGGTTTAAGCACAGCAGAGCTCGTGAGCATAGCACAGAATTGGGTAGGGCTGTATTGTTCATGGGCTCACTGTGAGTAAGAGCCAATATAACAGCAGTTAAAATTCTGAAATAAGAACTCTTAACATAATTAGATGCTAACTGAAGGCTGGAGGTTTTAGTCCACCAAAAGCTCCTCAAAATAAAGGCCTAAGATCTGCATTTAAAAACAGCCATTTTGAAGAAAGGCCTAACTGCCTTCCAGAGTGATTGTACCATTTTGCAATCCCACCAAGAGTATGAGAGTTCCAATCTCTCCACATCCTCTTTAACATTTATTGCTTGCTATCTTATTAAATTTTGCCACTGCTACTGGGATGAGATGGTATCTTATTGTAGTTTTTTGTTTACATCTCTTATTGCCAGTGATTTTGAGCATTTCTTCATGTGTTTGTTAGCCATTCCCATCTGAACGTCTCCCTATGTGAAAATTCATTCCATGTCTTTTGCCCATTTTGTATTTGGGTTATTAGTCTTTTTTTATTTTTTTTTATTTTTATGGAGGCCCTGTAGGACACTGTAAATTTTCCTTACAAGACTCTTGTCTGAGATAGCATTGCCAAAAGTTTTTTTCATAATCAGTAGGTTTTCTTTTCACCCTATTTGAAAACAACAACAACTGTTGCACACGGGGACTTAAGAAAGTCTCATTCATGGATATTATCCTCTCCTATTTATGTATTTCTGGCTGTATTTGCCGGCCTATTTTCACAAAGACTAGACATTTAAAGTTTTATTCCATTTTGTCTCGAATGGTTTTGGACCTTAGGTCTCTGATCCACCTTGAGTTGATTTTTGTGTATGGTGTAACATGTGGATCCTGCTTCAATTTGCTTCATATAGAAGTCCAGTTTTGCTGCACCAATCATTGAAGAGGTTGTCATTTCCCCATGTGATAGATTTTGTTTCTGTTGAATTCCAGTGGACCATAGAGACATGGGTTAATTTCTAGGTTCTCTATTCTGTTCTGACGGCCTATGTGTATGTCACTATACCAGTATCTTGGTGGTTTGGTTCTTATAGCTGTATAATAAGTTTTGAGATCAGTTAGGGGTGCAGGGATGTGATATGCCTCCCACTTTATTTTTGTTTTTCAGAAGTGATTTGCTTTTTCAGGGTTTCATTCCTTTCCAAATAAAATTGACAGTTGCTCTGAAAAATTTGGCATCTTTACTGGAATTGCATTAAGCATGAAGATTGCTTTCAGTAAGATTTTCATTTTTACTATATTGAATCTTCCTATCCATGAACAGAGAGTATTAGTAATTCCATATGACTCAGCTATTCTACAGCTCTGAATATGCTGCGAAGAACTAAGACCCAGAGATTTGTACACCAATGTTCATAGCAGTGTTATTCATAATCATGAGATCATGGAAACCATTCAAATGTGCATCAACAAATGCACGGATTGAGAAATTGTACATCCACACTATGGAATACTATGCAGCACTCAGGAAGGAGCAGCAGTTTGGAAAAATGCTATATAACATGGGAGAAATTGGAGAACATTATGCTGAGTGAACTGAGTCTCATAAGAACAAGTACTGTATAAGGCCATTATTGTAAAAAAAGAAGGATAACTACTAAGATGTGTATAAAAGCCTAAAGTATAAAGAGGAAGAAACCAGGTACTGAGGGGGACAGAGGGGAAAATCATAGTGTTGCAGAGTTTGGTAGGCAGAGGAGAGGGTGAAGGAATTGGGAAAAATGCAATGGAGACTTGAAAAGACTGGATAATAGAGGGCATAGATCAATGATGATTAACTTTATAAACCACAATGTGAATGAAGGAATGTGTGAAACACAATGTAGATGAATTTCATATGCAAGCCAATATAAAATAAAATTTTTAAATATTCAAATATAAACAATGAGAAATAAATAGAAAAAAAGAAGTTGTAGGTCAATCTAAATAACAAGCTAGTATGAAGTTTCACTGTTATTTCTATAATTAAAGTTGCTTTGACTGAAAAAAAAAACACAAACAAACCAAAACTCCAAAAAATTATTGAAACCCTAGGGAGCACAGTTCTACTCTAACATGAGTTAACCTGAGTCAGAATTTGTAAAGCTACCTCCCCTTTACAACTAATTAATTCTGATCTCCTCAGCAACACTTGTTGTGTACCAAGTTGGAACCAACTCATAGCTAACTCCCCCTCCAGCAGATTTTTTATAGGCAGTTAATCACAAGAGAAGAAATTGCCCATCTTTCTCCTGCAGAACAACTGGTGGCCTAAAACTGCATGCCTTCAGGATAGCAGTGCAGCTTTTTGCCCTTAGGCCATGAGCGGAGCAATAACTAGGTAACTAGGGTTTCTTTCTTCTATTAGGATGTAACTTCCATGAAGACAGAGGTTATATTAATTGTAATTGGCACTGTAGTATCTAAGGCCGTGCCTTGTACAAAGCAGTCACTTAACAAATGCCTGTAGAAAGGATAGATAGATAGATGATAGATAGATAGATAGATAGATAGATAGATAGATAGATAGATAGATAGATAGAATCATCTAGAGAAATACTTAGCATAGCAAAAAATTGAAAAAAATGTTTTTAACATATCTAAAACTGAACTAGTTATTACTAGGAATGACATTTTTCTATCACTCGCAATCTGTATTAGTGTAGACCTTTCTTGGTGCACCTTCCTTATTCACAAATTTAACTGACATAGTTTCATACTAGGGTAGAAAGGCTTGTGAAATACCACATCTGATTTAAAAGACTTCTAACATTGTAGATACATAAAGGTTTGCACTCTCTTAAAAGAAATTTGTTACAGTAGAATCAACAAGTGATTGGAAAGGAACTGAACTGTACCTGAATCTTGTAGATAGCTATAGTCATAGCCCAAATCTCTGGATGAAATAAAGAAGTCACCATTCTTGTATAGAGGTATAAAAGGAACCATGTAGGATTCCCGGTTATGTCCAATGGGGGCATTAGCTGCTGGGTAAACTTCTTGAAGAGGACGATATTTTCGGAGCCACTGTTCAAAAATACTGTAAAAGGAAGGGTTACTCACATCTAGAAGTATATTGTTTATAAAAAAAATATTTTAAAATCTTGACATTAAATCACAAAGCATATTTTAAAATCACCAAGATATTGTGGATGCTAAATATATATTCTTCACACTTTTAAAATATTATGTAAAGCACTAATTCATACTGTCAGGCCTAAAGAAGTTCACTCAGTGGAAGGAAATATTAGATGGAAACTGGGGTGGGGGCGGGGGGAAAGGAATTTCTTGAGAGAGGAATGTAAAACTTACCTGACAAGTTTAGACTCTTCAGAATGCTAGCTGAACAAGAATAATTATTGCTTGAGTGATAATTGAGTCATAGTTCTAAATCAAATATGTTCCTTTTCCCACAAATATCAGCCCAGGGGAAGAAAACAGAAGACTAAAATTGATGTTGGTAGTGAAATTTGATTACTTAGTCATTCACTTATTTTTTAATCTTTTTATTTTTACTAAGGGCATTTTAATAATTTCACTTGTCATATTTGGTAATGTGCATATATAATGAGTCTTGGGAGACAATAAAATTAAAAAAAAACACCCTCTGAAATTCGGATTCATGGTGACCTGCATGTGCTAGGTTACCACTATTCTATATGACCTTCATAACTAATCTTTACTAAAGCAGATAACCAGACCTTTCTCCATTGTGCTGTAGGCAGTTTGAGCTGCAAAACCAGTTGAGTGCAAACTGTTTGTAACACTCAAGGACTCTAGACATCCCAAGTAAAAGTAAATTGTTTAAAAAATATTGTTTATCAATTTGTTTTTCAACATGGAGTGTGACCATATCATAGTCAATCAGACATATCTATGAAGACTTTGAAACACAAGATCGTGTCACCAAGAAGCTGGGACTAGGGGAAAACCATTCCAGTAATGGACAGTGATAGTTTCTGTAAAAAGATTCCATTATCAAACTCGTCAGGCCTCAATGTACCAGCAAAGATATCCACTGTCCTCCTTTTCCTTTGTTCATGAACATACTTCTCTGTGATTCTAAGAACCATCAAGGACCATTTCAGCAAATTCTTTACCTGTTTAAATCAACTAGAGCTAGTTCCTGTTGTCTTACATTAACGATCTAGACCAATGCAGAAGTTAAAAAAATTGAAATATTAAGAAAATTCAGAACCTAGTAAGAATACAGCAGAAAGTAAAAATATAGACATAGGTATTTAAAAAAACCCAACAAATAACTTCATTGCTTTCAAGTTAGATCTGACTCTTAGTTGACCCTTTGGTGCATTTTCAGGAGGCTCTAAATCATGAGGGAAGAGACAGTCCAACTTTTTCCCATGAAGCTCCTCATGGATTTGAACCACCAAAGAGACAGGTTAGCAGCACAATTTCCTATGTCATTAGAGCTTCCTAGAAGAAAGTATACATGGTTGTTAAAAGTATTGGAAGGAGAATGGTTTTTAATTTAAAATAAAGACACTAAATAAGGAATGATTTGTTTTGGTTTTGGGTTTTGTTTTGGTTTTTGTTTTGTTTTGTTTTTAAATATACCTAGTTTTGATTCTTGACTCTGTTTTTCAAAAGCTGTGTAACTACAAGAAAAACACAGAACTTCCTGAAGATTCAAGTGTCTCATTTCTAAAATGGATTTAATAATATAAGACCTACCTGTTTAAAGATGCATAACCCAAAGTGGTAATTTTAATTGTAAGTATGAAATAATAAAGAAGCTCTGGTGGCCTAACTCCTCCCAGGGTCTTGGGAACTTCTTGCCAGAAGGAGCATGGTGGTGTGAGCGCAGGAATCATGGCAAGCTTTTGGAGTCAAGTGCTTTCCTGGGCATGTGTTTGATGTGCAGGTTTGCTCTGTTCCCGGGAGTGAGGCAAGCCACGATTGGAATAGGGTTTGAGCCAGGAGGTGGCCTTAAGCCCAAAGGCAGTTGGGAGAGGAGGCAGCCATGTTCCTCCTGGTTGTCTCCTCCCAAGGTCTCGGGAACAGTGTTGGCTGGAGCTTCTAGACTAAAACAAGTATGGAAGCAGGAGCAGCATCCGCTTCCAAAATGGCTTGCCTCCGGAAACTCTTATGTACTAACAGTGCTCAGGCCATTCGTTCATAGGGTCACTATGAGTCATCTATGACTCGACGGCACCAAACAACAACTGGTGGCCTAATGGGCAAGGAGTTGTTCTGCCAACTCAAAGGTAGAAGTTGGAATATATCATCAGCTGCTCCACAGGAAACAAGAGAAAGATGAGCAATCTTCTCATGTGGGAGCCTCTGAAAATTTTCTGGAGAATCAGCTATGAATCAGTTCTGACTCAGAGGCACATTAACAACAGTAATGCCATCACCAAAGTAAGATACAATAGTTCATAGGGTCATGCATTACCAAACCAAAGGCCGAATCGCTCTGGTGGCTTGAAACTACCAGTGGTTCCTTGGAAGAAAGTAGAGCAATCTCTTCCTGTGTGATTTCTTGTCTTGGCAAATCTGCTATGAAGTGAGCTATGAGACTGTTATAATTGGATAGCAATGAGTTATTGGAGTTGAATTGATAACTGTTGTCAAATAGATGCACTATTCTTATGTTCAAGAATTTAAGTCTTCTAATAATAAATTCATTGACATTGTATATGGACACTTTCTCAAGCCTGAACAACAATGAAATACACAATAGAGGGATATAGAAAAGGTAAAAATGATCACAGATAGAAATAAGAAGGGATACATCCATTAGATACAAGTGACATGTTGCTCATGGTTTTAACTCCGATTCTGGGTGACCCAAGTGCATCAGAGCAGAACTGTGATCAATGGGCTTTTCAATGGATTGGCTGACTTTTTTTGAAGTTCAATAACACTCTTTTCTGAGGCACTTTTGGATGGACTTCAATCTCCTCCCTTTCAGTTGACAACCCAGGAACTCAACTGTTGTTAACTAATGTTGTTAACTGTTGTTAATCAGTTATATACAATGTAAGCTGGAATATAAAAAGTCAGTGAATAGTTACTAAAGATGGTATATCAAATACAAAGTGACAACATCTGACAAAGTTTTAAAGAAATATTTTCAACATTTTGAAAGGAGGGCAAGGAATCCTGATGGCAGCAATGATAACCATTTTCTCCAGAGAAGAAAACGATTCTAATTTTTTAGAGAATCTACATTATTAAAAGCCAGTTATGGTCAAAATTGGGTTTTGCTTGTGAAAAAGTTGGTCTGTCATCCATGAATACAAAATAATCTTTCGTTACCTCAATTATTAAACAGTATTTGTTGAGTACCTTGTGTGTATTAAATATTGGAGAATCATTATTATTTTGTGCCATTGAGTCAATTACAATTCTTCATGACCTTATGTAAGTTAGATCTGAACTCTGCCCATCCTTTACCCCAATCAATGTTTCAGTTATCCTCTCCTGTGCTGTCCTTTCACCTTTCACCTTTCAAAGGATGATATTCTTTCCCAAAGACTGGTCCTTCTTGGCAACAAGCCCAAAATATGTGATATGGATCCTCAAAGCAATTCAAGCTTGGACTTCCTCCTTCTTCACCATATCACATAGTCATATGTTGTTTCATTAAATTCTTTTGTGTCATCCATTTTTTGGGGGTACAATGACTCTGTATTCCTTCCATATTCTTTTTATACCTCCTTTATTGATACTCTGCCTATAGAGTCCTTAAGTATTGGAACTTGGGACATGAGTTTGTTCTTCAGTTCCTTCAGCCTAAGAAATATCAGTAGCTCATGAGGTTATTATGAGTTAAAAATGAGACAATTCAAGTCTTTCTTTTCTTTCTTGTGGCTTGTAGCAATATACTATAATGAAATGTGCAGAGAGCTGGAGTCAGAAAATCAAAAGGGCCGAACTCACTCAGCGTTTCTTCAGCTTAAGGAGTTGAAAATCAAATTCAAGCCACGGGTGGCAAAACTTAAAGATAGTTTGGGTAGAATGTTGAATGATCCAGGTAGTATCAAAAGAAGATGGAGGAGTACACAGAGGCACTGTATCAGAAAAAATTGGCTGACACAGAGGAATTTCATGAAATAACATATGAGCAAGAGCCTAGGGTGATGAAGGAGGAAGTTCAAGTTGCTCTGAAGGAATCGGCAAAATGCAAGGCTCCAGGAGCTGACAGCATACCAATTGATTTATTTCAACAAACAGACACTGCCCTGGATGTGCTCAGTGAGTTGTGCCAGGAAATCTGGAGGACAGCCAGCTAGCCAACTGACTGGAAGAGATCGATATTTGTTCCCAT